TGATTTGTAGTATGCTTTGAATCAGGTGTTGTGAGGCATCCAGGTACTTTTGTTTTGTTTTGTTTTGTTTTTTGGTAAGGAACCCCCAAGATGTTCTGGATCTTCTGTGATTTGTATGAATTTTAGGCATTTTTTTTTGTTTTTCCACAAAGAATGTCACTGATATTTTGATAACAATTTAATTGAATTTTTATATTGCATTAGGTAAGGTTGACATTTTTTTTTTGACAGGCAGAGTAGACAGTGAGAGAGAGAGAGACAGAGAGAGAAAGGTCTTCCTTTTACCGTTGGTTCAACCCCCAATGGCTGCTGCGGCTGACACGCTGTGACCGGTGCACCATGCTGATCTGAAGCCAGGAGCCAGGTGCTTCTTCTGGTCTCCATGCGGGTGCAGGGCCCAAGGACTTGGGCCATCCTCCACTGCACTCCCGGGCCACAGCAGAGAGCTGGACAGGAAGAGGAGCTACCGCCACAGAATCTGGCGCTCCGACCGGGACTAGAACCCGGTGTGCCGGCTCCGCAGGTGGAGGATTAGCCTATTGAGCTGTGGCACCGGCCAAGGTAGACATTTTAATGATACTCATTCTTCGAATCCATCAAAAGAAATATCATTTCATTATTTCTGTTCTTGGTGATTTCTTTTATCAAGATATGGTAATTTTGATTATAGAGCTTTAAAACATCTTTAATGTATTAAACACTGCTGTTTCTACAGTATGTTTATTTGTAACCTGTAACTTCACTTAATTGTTTCACCAGTCCTAGCAGTGTTTTGGGTTCATTGTATTAGTATTTCTGTTACAATATCATGTCACCAGCAAGCCCTTAGAATTTGATGTTCAATTTTCACACCTATTTACTGATTCTTTCTTTCTTCTCCCTCATTGTTTTTGTGAAAATTTACAGTACTACATTCAGAAAGAGTGGTAAAAAGGGACATCCTTGTGTTGTTACATGTTTGACAAAAATGCTTTCACATTTTCCCCATCCAGCATGACATTGGCTGTTGGCATGTCATACATAGCCGTTATGATTTCGATATGTATTCCTTCTGTATCTATTTTGTGTAGTTTTTTAATCCTTTTTTATTCTATTGATATTTCTGTATCTAATTAGATGATAATGTGGTTTTTCAAAAGATTTATTTCATTTGTTTGCAAGAATGATATAGATTGATAGAGATAGAGCAAGAGCAAAAGAAAGGGAGGGAGGAAAAGAGGGAGAGGGGTCTTCTATTTGCTAGTTTATTACCTAAATGACCTCAATGGCCAGACTGAGCCAGTATGAAGTCAGGATCCAGAACCTTCTTCCAAGTCTCCCATGTGGCTGAAAGGGCCCAACTAATTGGGACATCCTCTGCCACTTTCCCAGGCACATTAGAAGGAGCTAGATTGGAAGAGGAGCAGCCTGGATGCGAAATGGCACACATATGAATGGAGGCATTGTGTGTTGTGGCCTTAACCCACTGCAATACAGTGCTGGCCCTGACAATGTGTTTTTTTTTTTCTTTTTTTTTTACATGCAGAGTGGACAGTGAGAGAGAGAGAGAGAAAGTCTTCCTTTTGCCGTTGGTTCACCCTCCAATGACCACCACGGCCGGCATGCTGTGGCCAGCGCACCCACTGATCCGATGGCAGGAGCCAAGTGCTTCTCCTGGTCTCCCAGGGGGTGCAGGGCCCAAGTACTTGGGCCACCCTCCACTGCACTCCCGGGCCAAAGCAGAGTGCTGGCCTGGAAGAGGGGCAACCGAGACAGAATCCGGCGCCCCGACCGGGACTAGAACCCGATGTGCCGGTGCCACAAGGCGAAGGATTAGCCTAGTGAGCCACGGCGCTGGCTGACAATGTGGTTTTGTTCTTCAATTAGTTTGATATAATTTATCATGTGTATTAATTTGATAATGTGGAACATCATGGCATTTCTGGGATGAATTCCAATCAAAGGTTATACATGAGCTTTTGCGTGTGATTTTGGTTTTGTTTGGCTAGAATTTTGTTGAGAATGTTTGCATCTTTTTCATTTAGGATCTAGGCCAGCAGTTTTATTTACATTCAATGTTTAGCTATCTTTTGTGGTCAGAGTAATTCTGGCCTCACAAAAAGTGTTTGTTAGAGTTGAATCCTATTCCATCCAGCTCAATATTTAAAATAGCTGGAAAAGTATTGGAGTTGCTTTTTAAATCTTCAACCTCCTTGGATACCTTTATTCAAAGGTATTTAAATTTTAGTAGCTATTGTGAATGGAATGGATCTTTGAAGTTGTCTCTCAGCCATGACATTGTGTGTATACAAATTCTATTGATTTTTGTGTGTTGATTTTATATCGTGCCACTTTTCCAAACTCTGAGTTCTAATAATCTCATAGTAGAGTTTCTTGGTTCCCCCATTTAAAAAATCATGTGCTTTTGAAGGAGGGATAGTTTGACTTCCTCCTTCCCAATTTGTATCCATTTGATTTCTTTTTCTTGCCTAATGGCTCTAAAACTTCCAGATCTATATTGAATAGCAATAATGAGAGTACATCCTTGTCTGATTCCAGATCATAGTTGGGAATGCTTCCAACTTGTCCCCATTCATAAGATGCTATCAGTCGGTTTGACATAAATTGCCTTGATTATGTGGAGGAATATTCTACTGTCAGTTTGCCTAAGGCTTTCTTTCTGAAAGGTTTTTGCATATTTTCCAGCTGTTTTCATCTATTGAAATAATTATATGTTTTTTAATATTTATTTAAATGAAAGGCAGACTTATTGAGTGACCAATTCATTGGCAAACAGTACATTGTAGTAATTCCCGATGTTTTTTTTTTATTTATTGGGTTTCTGTTATTACAGTTTGTTTTTTGTTTATGATTTTACTCATTGGGGTCTTATTCCTGTTTTTTTGTTTGTTTGTTTGTTTTGGAGATTTTCAGCAAGTTTGTAAAAAATTTTTTTAATGAGCTTTCATTTCAGTGATCTTTTGTAATGTTTTTGCTTCAACTTTGTTTATTTCTTCTCAAATTTCCATGATTTCTGTCATCCTGCTAATTTGGAGTTTGATATGTCGGTTTTCCAGGTTTTGTGATGCATTGAAAAGCTCATTTATTTGATGCCTTTCCAATATCTTGTGGTAGGCACAAGTTGTTATCAAGTGTCCTCTTAACGTTGCATTTGCTGTGTCCCATACGTTTTGCTGTGTTGTGCTGTTGTTATCTTCAATCATGTCCAGAAATTTCTTGATTTCCATTTTGATTTCTCCTATGACCCACCATTCATTCAGGAGCATGTCGTTTGGTCTCCATGTGTTTGCATATGTTTTGGAGTTTCTTGAGTTGTTGATTTCCCATTTCCTTGAATTTTGGTCATAGAAGATGCGTGAAATGATTTCAGTTACTGAGTTTACTAAGCTTGTTTTATGGCCTATCATATGTTGTGTCCTAGAGAAAGTTCCAGGGGCTGATGAGAAGAATGTGTATTCTGCAAGTTGTGGGATGAAAAGTTCTGAGTTAGGACTTCCAGCAAGGCAGTCTGTTCCCAGGGACACAGTGATGAGCGACTGAGTCACCTACAATTGTGACATAGGGGAGGGGCGAGGAAATGACCAAGAGAAGACAGTGCAGGTGTTCTCATAAGATATGTTTTGTATTTAAGAGATCCAAAGTCCATGCATTTCATAAATGCAATTTAGGTACACAGTGATTGTCCCCACCCTACCTCTCTGTCCGGAGCGCAACACATCGTGCACTTGGTCATCTGACTCTTGGCAGCAGCCCTGGGACAGACAAGGGCAAGGATGCTGGGCGTGTATCTGCCGTTCAGTACCCTGACCACGGGCAGTTTGGCAGAGCGCTGCACCATGCAGGAGTGGCTGGGTGTCAGCCTGGAGGTCTACAGAGCTCCACACTGCCCTGAGCTTCTGATGGGCTGCATTGGGAGCAACGATGCCCTTGGAGCGCATTTGGTCATGGTGAGCACAGGGCAGCCATGTCAGGCTGGGGCTCAGGTCGCCGCCCCTGGTTAATCAAGGCAGTGCGGCCTCTTCCGCTGACGCTGTGTATTCTGGGAGGAAGGGGCGGGTGTTAGTTGGACGGCACTTGAGCAGTAGGCCTCGGGAAGAAGTAGGAGATGTCTGTGGGAGTGGCGTTGTGGTAGGCTGGCGGTGTTATTGGCAGCAGTGGCACGGGAGGCTTGGAGAGTGCGGGAGGGATTTGCTGCTTTTGAGATTATGGACAGTGAAATGTCCGGGGCCTTCTTCAAAGGATGCGGGATTCAGGGCTTCCCAGCGGTGTTTTCCCCCCAAATCCACAGGTTTGGAGGCAGTGGGGGTGGGTGGGAGCTCAACTGTGAGGAAGCCGAGACGCTGGTGTCAACCTCCCCTCCCCCCATGGAGGACACGGATGTGAACCTGTACCCATAATGGACTAGTGTTCTCTCGTAATTTGATGATACTCAGTTTTAGATTTTGTTCCTTGAAGTGTTTTTCGTTGCTTTTTGTATAAGGTGTAAGGTATCGGGCTTCTTTCAGAGTTCTGCATGTGGAGGTCCAGTTTTCTCAGGACCAGTTTTTGAAGAAACTGTCCTTTGCACCTGGGATTGATCTTTAGCACTTTTAAAAGACAGAGTAGTTGTAGATGTGTGCGTTATTTCAGGTGTTTCTTTTCTGTTCCATTGTTCTATATGTCATTCTTTTTTTGCCTGTACCAAGCTGTTTTGATCGTAACTGCCCTGTTCTGTGTCTTACAATCTGTTGTTGCGACGCTTTGAGTTTTGTCAATGTTGTATATGGTTGCTTTCAGTATTCGGATGTTCTGTGTTTTCATATGAATTTTAGTATTGTTTTCTTTCCATCTGGGCAAAATGTTATTTGTCCTTTGGTTGGGATCCCATTGTATCTCTAAATTGCTTATGGTAGAATGGAAATTTTCATTTTGTCGATTTTACCAATGAATGAACATGGCAGATTTTTCCATTTTTGTGTGTCTTTTTCTATTTCTTTAATGTTTATTAATTTTCATTGTAGACATTTTCATGGATATGAAACTGGACACCGAGTTGACGCTGAAGTTCAGCTGCTGGGTATCTTCCATTTCTGGAGCCTGCTCATCTTCCTTGTAAAACCCGGCTAGGCCTTCACCCTGGACAGGAGCAACTGGTTAGTAGACATGGATGCGTCCTGTAGATGGCAGCCTTTGGGCCAAGGGGGAGAGAAGGGAAGGGATGGGACCTCTGTTCCCTGGAGTTGGGCTGGCGAGGCTGAGAGTAAGGTGGACTTCCAAGCTTTGGGAAGGAGGGTCAAGTGGGGGAGCCCTATAGACATTTGGAGACAGAAATGTGGGGGCCTAGCATTCCTAGAATAGAGTGTTGGCCACAGAGACAGAGGTGAATAAGATGTTGGTGAATGCATTCCCTCGGGTGCTGCAGAGAATTAGGGGCCAAAGAACATGCTAAGAAGGGAAGATTGTGTCTCCAGGCAGTGGGAGGGAGACCTGGGAGGAAAACTGCATGTGTTGACTCAGAGTACAAAAGATAAGAAGTCTGCTTTGGAGAGACGTGGTAGTAGTTGTTATGTTTTAGAGTTTCAGGCTAAGGACGATGGGATTGCAAGTACTTCATGCAGCGGGAGTGGAGGGTTAGATGCCATGGAAGAACCTGGTTCATGCAAGGTTTGGGGAGCTGGAAACAGGTTATTTCTGTATGTCACCATCCAGTGATAGAAAGGGAAAAGAGAAGGATTGCATGGAGGAAGGCAGGTGACTTTGAGGAGAGTTGTAATAGGGAGGAGCTGGTAGAACTACTTGTAAGAACTAGTGGAGCATCAGAGTGTTAGATCCAGGACAGGGCCTGGGGAGAAACCTTAGTTAAAGTGAGGGAACGGATATCAGGAGGTGGTCAGAGGGACCTTTCAGAAGGTACTGGGGAATGTGTGCTGAGTTAATCAGGAAATTTGACCAAAGTCTCCCGACTACCAAGAGATGGAGAAGATCTTAGTTGAAATCAGATAAGTGTTGATAGGGGGCTTAGGTACATGGAGAAACTGGCATAGCCTGGGAATGAAGTTTGTGGCTTGTATTCAGTTTGTAGAAGTCAGAATTATAGCAGAGGACTTTCTCTTGGTAAACGTGTTTTTCTGGGTTTCAAAGGAGTGTCTGTGATGTGCCCACATTTGTTCTGGTTTTTTAAAGTAATGCAGAGAGCATCATGTGGGTCCTTGAAAAAGTTTGTGGAAAGAAGGATTTCTAAGGTTGTTTCATTGTGTGTGTGTGTGTGTGTGTATAGTAGTATTCCTACCCATTCAACGATGATGTTAGAAAACTTCGTCAGTTTCTTGTTTTCACTGCCATGAAGCATACTGCAATAAATATTGTGGTGGACGTATCTCTCTGATACAATATGTTCATGTGTTTTGGGTTATAGCCAGTAGAGGGATTGCTCCATATCGTATGGCAAGTCTGTCTGGTTTTTTAAGAAATCTCCATACCGTTTTCCACAGCGTCTGCACTAATTTACATTTTTACCACCAGTGGGTAAGTTTTTCCCTTTTCCCACATCTTCCTCCTCATTGTGACTCTCCGTCCTTTGGGTTTTAGCCAGTATGTACGTGTGAGCTGATATCTCATTGTGGTTTGGATTTGCATCTCCCTGATAGCTTGTGATGTTGCGCATTTTTCCTATATTTCTTGGCCATCTGTATATCTATGGGGAACTGTCTGTTGAGCTCCTTTGGCTACTTCATAACTGGATTGGTTGGGTTTTTTATTGGTGTTTTTTTTTTAAGTTGCAGATGTATTCCTGATATTAACCCTTTTCATATAGGTTGCTGACAAGTATCCTTTGGTCATTCTTGTGAATGAATCTTCACTCTATGATGATTTCCTTTGCTGTGCAAAGCTTTTCATTTCATTTGATCCCATTTGTTTGGTTTTGCTTTAGCTGCCTGGGCTTTGAGGGTCTTGTCTAAGAGTCATCCCCTATTCCAGTGTCTTGGAGCTTTCTTTGTATTTCCTTCAAAAAGCTTCACAGTGCTGGGTCATAGATTTAGGTCTCTGATCCATTTTGAGTTGATTTTCATATTTTGTTGGAGTTATGAATCTAATTTCAATCTTCTACACAAATACATCCATTTTTGGCAACACCACTTGTTGAAGAAATCCAATGGATGGTCTGAGACCTTTTGTAAAAATATGGTATTGAACATATTTTGATTAATATTGGAGCTCACCTTGTTCTCTTCCATTGGTCTGTGTGTCACTTTTTATGCAAGTGCTATGATATTTTGTTTAGTGTCATTTGTAGAATGCTTTGAATCAGGTGTTGTGAGGTATCCAGGCTAATAACTTTGTTTCACTTTTTGCTCAGAAACACCTTATCTTTTCTGCATCTTCTGTGATTTTGTTTGAATTATAGGTTTGTGGTATATAATTCTGTAAAAAACGTCATTGGTGTTTTGATGAAAATTTAATTGAATCTTTAGGTAGCATTAGGCAAGGTAGAGATTTTAATTATACTGATTCTTCAAATCCACCAAAAGAGACATCTTTCCACTTTTGTGTCCTTGGTGATTTTGTTCATCAGTGTGTGGTGATTTTCATTTAGAGCTCTTTGACTTCTTTGGTTAAATTTTTTCCTAAACTTTTTATTTTTGTGGTTATTGTCCTTGGGATATTTGTTGATTGCTCTGTCAGTGAGTTCATCATTAATGTATAAACACTGCTGCTTACACACTATGTTTATTCATAACCTGAAACTTCACTTAATTGTTTCACCAGTTCTAGCAGTGTTTTTGGTGGATTGTTTTAGTTTTTTTCTGGTACCATATCATGCCATCTGTAAGCTTTTAGAATTTCACTTTCTCTTTTATAACATTGGTGCTGTTTATTTCTTTCTTCTCCTTTCTTTCTCTTGTGAAAATTTACAGTACTGCATTCAGTAAGAATTTTAAAAGGGGATATCCTTGTGTTGTTACATGTTTGACCAAAATGCTTTCACTTTTTGCCCATCCAGCATGGCATTGGCTGTTGAGTTGTGATACATAGCCTTTAAGATTTTGATACCTATTCCTTTTATACCTACTTTGTGGAATTTTTTTTATCATGAATAGGATTGGATCTTTCAGGTTATTTCTCTATCTAATGAGATGATAATGTGGCTTTTTAATAAAAACATTTCTTTTTTTCTAATTTTTTTAATATTTTTTTTTATTTTTTGACAGGCAGAGTGGACAGTGAGAGAGAGAGACAGAGAGAAAGGTCTTCCTTTGCCGTTGGTTCACCCTCCAATGGCCGCCGCGGCCGGCGCGCTGTGGCCGGTGCACTGCGCTGATCCGATGGCAGGAGCCAGGAGCCAGGTGCTTTTCCTGGTCTCCCATGGGGTGCAGGGCCCAAGCACCTGGGCCATCCTCCACTGCATTCCCTAGCAGAGAGCTGGCCTGGAAGAGGGGCAACCGGGACAGAATCCAGCACCCCAACTGGGACTAGAAGCCGGTGTGCCAGCGCCCCTAGGAGGAGGATTATCCTAGTGAGCCGCGGTGCTGACCTATTTCATTTATTTCTAAGAATTAGAGAGAAGGCCGGCAATGTGTTTCACTTGGCTAATCCTCTGCCTGTAATGCCGGCATCCCATATGGGCACCAGGTTCTATTCCCAGCTGCTCCTCTTCCAGTCCAGCTCTCTGCTGTGGCCCAGGAGGGCAGTGAAGGATGGCCCAAGTGCTTGGGCACCTGCAGCCGCGTGGGAGAACAGGAGGTGGCAGCTGGCTCCTGGCTTTGGATTGGTGTAGCGCTGGCCATAGTGGCCATTTGGGAGGTGAACCAACAGAAGGAAAACCTTTGTCTCTGTCTCTCCCTCTCACTAACTCTGCCTGTCAAAAAAAATCAATAAAATAAAAAAAAGAATTAGAAACAGAACAAGTGCAGGTGAACGAGATTGAGAGAGTATGAGAGGGAGAGAGGTCTTCCATTTGCCAGTACACTCCTGGAATGACCGTGATGGCCAAACTGAGCCAATATGAAGTCAGGATCCAGGACCTTCTTCTGGGTCTCCCATGTGGCTGCAGGGGCCCAAGGAATTGGGACATCCTCCACCGCTTCCCCAGGCATGTTAGGAGGGAGCTGGATTGGAAGTGGAGCAGCCAGAACACACACTGGCACCGACATGGAAAGACAGCACTGCATGCCGTGGCTTTAACGTGCTGTAACACAGCACCAGGCCTGCTTGTCTGACTCCGGGCAGCAGCCCCGGCCACCGACTAGGCCAAGGATGCTGGGCAGGTATCCTCCATTCAGTACCCTGACCACGGGCAGTTTGTCAGAGCGCTGCACCAACGGGATTGTCTAGGTGTCAGCCCAGAGCTCTAGAGAGCTCCATACTGCCCTGAGATTCTGGTGGGCTGGATGGGAATCGACGATGTCCTTGGAGCATTTCTGATTGTGATGAGCACAGGGCTGCAGTGCCATTTAGAGCTAAGGCCACTTCCCCTGATTCATCAAGGTAGCTTGGCCTCCTCCACTGACACTGTGTTTCCTGGGAGGAAGGGGGAGGTGTTATTTGGATGGCACTTGCACATTTAAGCTAACAGGACAGAGATGCCCAGGGGCTGCCTCAAAGGAGATGGGATCCCGTGACTTCCAGCAGCATTCTCCCTCGAAATCCACAGGTTCGGAGTCAGTGGCTCAGCCATGAGGAAGCCGAGAAGCGATGTCTGCCTCCCCTCCTCCCTCCCAGAGGATCTGGATGTGAAACTAACCCAGAGTGGACACTGAAGCTCAGCTGCCAAGTAATCTCCCATTCCCAGAGAGATTGCACAGATTCCTGCTCAACGCCAGCTGGGTCTTCTTCCTGGAGAGGAGCAACTGGTGAGCAGATGTGGCTGCCCCAGTAGTGGCCATGTCTGGATGCACAAGGGGAAGGGAAGGGAAAGCCCATTCCCTGGGGTTGGGCGGCCCAGGCTGACAGAGATGTGGACGTCATTCCCATGGCAGGGAGGGTCATGTGGGTAGCCCCACAGGCATGGGGAGAAATGTAGGGGCCTGGTGGGCTTCAGTAGAGTTGGATAGCATGCAGACAGGGATGGATAGGATGTTGGGGGAATGAGTTCCCCCGGGCACTGCAGAGAATTAGGGGCCAAAGAACATGGTAATAGGGGAATACTTGGGTATCCAGGAAATGGGAGGGAGACCTGGAGGAAAAGTGTGTGCTGTTGAGTCAGAGTACAAAACCCAAGAAGTCTGGATTGGAGAGACGTGTTAATAAAAGTTTGGGTTTTAGATTTCGGGCCTAAGAATGACGGGATGGAGGTATTTTGTGTGGTGTGAGTGGAGGGTTAGATTTCATGGAAGAACCGGGGCATGCAATGTGTTGGGAGCTGAAATCAGGTAATTTCTGTATATTGCCACTCTGTGATATAGACAGGGAAATGGAAGGAGTGTATGGAGGAGGTCAGGTGACTTTCAGTAGAGTTGTAATAGGGAGGAGCTGGTAGGTCTACTAGTAGAACTGGTGGAGTCTCCGAGTATTAGACCTGGGACAGCATCTGGGCAACAACCTTAGGAAAATGAGGGTAAGAAAATGGTGATGGGTGTGGTGTGGTCTTTCTTAGGGACTGTGGTATGGGTGCACGGTTAATTAGGAAACTTTGACAAAGCTCTCGGGAATACCAGGGATGGGAGAGGATTTTCTGGGAGAAAACTGGATTGGTGGTGTGCTTAGGAAGACAAGAACCTGATCAAGCCTGGAATGAAATTTGAGGCTTGAGGTCAGCTTATAGAAGTCTGAATTTGGGCAGAGGACTCTGTCTTGGTAAAGGTGTATTTCTTGTCTTTCAAGATGTTTCTGTTATGTGCCAGCATTTGTTCTCGTTATTTAATGTAATGCAGGGGGCAACGTGAGGTACTTTGAAAAGTTTGTGGAAAGAAGCAGTTGTGAGTTTGTTGTCTTTCAAGACATTTTGATGAACTGCGTACAGCTTTGTCATGGTGCATGTTTTCCATATCCTTCTAGGCAGCTCTGTGTGAAAGCTTCTGCTTTCATGGAGTGTTTGTTCTGATTGCTGTTTGGGGGCTGGGAATGACTTAGTCCTGCAGGACTTTACCAGGTAGGAGTTCTTGAAATATCTTCCTCTTAGGTTGCAATGTATACTTTGTAGTACTTCCTATTCCTCGCGTGTTTTTTATACCATCTCTGATGTTTCCATTTGCTTTTATGAGCCATTATACCTTGTCTTATTTCACGCTGTCACATTTATTAGGAATGCAAATTCTTCCTTATGTTTTTCTTTTCAATGCAGTGTTATTTTTGAGTAACACTTATGCAGAATTTATATAGCTTTTATACTCTCACTTTATAGTTTATTTCTACAGAAAGATTTTCAAACTTACGTTTTTATAAAAGTCATGTTTTCCTTGTACAGAATTTTGTGAACATGCACATTTTACATTTTTAATTTTCCTGCAATTTGAGTGCTTACCTATTTTATATAAATCTCCATCAAAGATTAATACATCCCAGTAGATGTATTTGTTTTTTAGGTTAACAAAATTCTTCAATATGTTCTATAGAACAATTATGAATCAACATTCCCTTCTTTCTGCTCTCCTTCCAACGCTGTCTCTCCCAGTGTACCTCTTCCTTCTTTCTCCATTTGTTCCTCCTTTCCTTACTTTCATCCATTTTTGGACAGTTTCTATATTTGCATTTTAGTAAAAAAGCTAAATTCTTTACCGTATAAGAAGTTCAGATACTAAAAAATGGGGGGGGGGGACAATGTTTGGCATCCCCTATGGGTGCTTGTTCAAGTCCCATTTAATCCACTTCTTTTTTTTTTCTAAGACGTATTCATTTATTTGAAATACAGTGTTATAGAGAGGCAGAGAGAGTGAGTGAGAGGTCTTCAATCCACTGGTTCACTCCCTGGAAGGTCCATATGGCCAGAGGTGCACTGATCCGAAGCCAGGAGCCAGAGCTTCCTCAGGGTCTTCCAGTGCAGGTGTAGGGGCCCAAGGACTTGGGCCATCTTCCACTGCTTTCCCAGGCCATAGCAGAGAGCTGGATCAGAAGTCGACCAGCTGGGACTTGAAACCGGCACCCATATGGATGCCGGCACTGCAGGAGGCACCCTTACTCGTTATGCCACAGCACCAGTTTATACTCCATTTCTGATCCAACTCCATGCTAATGCACCAAAGCAGGAGAGAGCAGCCCAAGTGCTTGTGACTTTGCACCCATGTGGGAGACCTGGAAATGTGAACCAGCAGATGGAAGATCTCTCCTTCTTTCTCACTCTCTGTATGTAACAATGTCTTTGTAAAAAAAAAAAAATAGATCTTCTAAAAATAAGGAAAGATTAGAATCCCTCGTTTATAGGGAATATAAGTAACAAGTATAATCAGTTGAATGGAAAATTGACCATTTTATTTATATACCCTAAATTTAAAGTAATCACAGATCATTAAAACTATACTAATGTAACATTCTTTTTTCTTTTTAAAATTTTTAAAATTTACTTTTACTTACTTAAAAGACAGAATTACTGAAAGAGGTGTAGAGATAGAGGGAGAAGTCTTCACTCTGCTGGTTCATTTCCCAAATTGCCACATGGCTAGAAATGAGCCGATCGCAAGTTACGAACCAGGAGCCTCTTCCAGGTCTCCCACGTGGATGCAGGGGCCCAAGGACTTGGGCCATCTTCTACTGCTTTCCCAGTCCATAGCAGAGAGCTAGATCAGAAGAGGAGCAGTGTGAACTAGAACCTGTGCCCATGTGGTGGGATTCCCACCTTTCAAGCCTGGGCTTTATTACACTGCCACACAGCACCTGCCCCTTCAATTATTTTTAAAATGAATGCAAAGAGATCATATTTCATGAATTGGGAGGTACAGTTCTAAGAATAAACCCAGAATTTCCTCTCTTCCCCTTTCCTCTTTTCATCTATTTTTCATGATATGATTATAATCCATGTAATATTCAGGGTAACCATAATATTCATAGGTAAAAGGTAGAAAGAATAAAGTTCCACCGGAGCAGTATGATGATCTTTTATTTTAAGACATTAAATTAAAAAAAGAAACAATAGTTTTCTGAGAGGTATTGTTACAGAGAGAGGGAGGCGTAGAGTTAGAGGTCTTCCATAAATATGGGGTTCATTCCACAAATGGCCACAATGTCTGGAGGTGGGCCAGTGCAAAGCCAGGAACCAAGAGTTTCTTCTGTTTTTTCCCGCTATGTTGCAGGGGCCCAAGCCTTTGGGCCATCTTCCATTGCTTCTCAGGCCATCAGTAAGGAAGAGGATTGGAAGTGGAGCAGCTGGACTTGAACTGGTGCCCATATGGGATGCCGGCACCACAATGGATGCTTAACCTACTATGCCACAGTTCTGGCCCCAGTGTTCTGTTCTTAACCACTGGTTTGTCCAAGTTATCAGATAGTGTTTTCTAGGAGTATATTGCAGCAATAGTGATACACATTGGCATTTTTTTTGTTTTTGTGTTTTGAATTTTCAAAAAGTTAACTTCCACATGTAAGGTAATACATGTGGTATTTTCTTTTTCTGGCTGATTTCTCTAAGAGAAGTCCTCCAGTAACTCCATTTTGATGCACTTGATAAATTTCATTATTTTTAAGTCCTGAATAACATTTGATCATCAATCTATACCATGCTTTCCTTAGTAATTCATCTGATGATTGGAAATCTTTGTTTAATCTTCATAAATAAATCCTTGTTTATTCCTTGTGGCTGCTGTGAACTGTATTGCATAAACATGGTGGTGGTGGTATCTTCTTTTTTTAAGACAGGCAGAGTTAGTAAGAGAGAGACAGAGAGGAAGGTCTTCCTTTCTGTTGGTCACCCTCCAATGGCTGCTACAGCTGTGTGCTGCACCAATCCAAAACGAGGAGCCAGGTGCTTCCTCCTGTCTCCATGCATGTGCAGGGCCCAAGGACCTGGGGCCATCCTCCACTGCCTTCCCAGGCCACGCAGAGAGCTGGACTGGAAGAGGAGCAACTGGGACAGAATCTGGCACCCCAACTGGGACTAGAACCTGGGGTGCTGGTGCTGCAGGTGGAGGATTAACCAAGTGAGCCGTGGCACGGCCAATCTCTCTTATTTTTTGTAAGAGGAAGAGTTTTATCAGTTCTTTGTCATACTCTCATGCTCACCTTCTCTGCTCCAAGGAGACCAGTTGCAGAGCTCTAGCCCCAGTGAGTGTGTATTCGTCCACACTGCCACAAGAACACACAAAGCATCAGTGCAGTTCGCAGTGTGAGCCTGGATCCTGCAGCAATGACTCTCACCAGAGAATCAGGGCAACCTGAGCATGTGGAGCAGCCCAGAATGACTGCTCAGGGACCCGGCCACACCCTGCACCCTTCCATGCAGCCACAGTGTTTTCACAATCCCAGCACACAAGGCTCCCGCAGTCAAAACCGCCCAGACCCATGTCAGTTCTCCCAGCCAGACTCAGGCGTCTCATCTCAGCTGGTTGCTGGGTACTGTCGCTCCCCTCTTCGTGGAGGAACGACACAGGACCCTGCGTTGTTCTTTCGTCGCTCGCGCCTCCCGGGTTTGCTGCTGGTTCTTCCCGGGTTGGCTGCCGACCCTTCCACCTCCGTGGAAGGGTGGTTCCCCCTGCCACATCCCCCACTTCTGTGGGGGAGCGGCACACCGCCGGCCGGCTCTCTCGGGGGCTGCACAGGTGTTCCCCTTAGATGTTCCTTCTCCTCCTTTATAGTCCTCTTCCGCCAATCCCAACTCTGCTACCCACACGCCGAGTACGCTGCTCTCCTCCAATCAGGAGCAGGTCCCACAGTTTATTGGTTGAACTGGAGGCAGCTGTGTAGAAGCTGTTTCCCTTCTCAGCGCCATATTGTGGGAAAGCAGATGCATAGAATTCTTAATTCCAGTAACTTAGTCTAGTCCGAGTTGCTCCCAGTTGCTCCCGACAGATCCCCTTTCTTTTTATTTTTGGCGTTGATACGCCTGTCTTCGGTGCCCCGCACACACTCTGCTCTGCTTGCTAGAGTTGCCCACAGGTGCTTACAAGTCCTATCAATCAGGCAAACCGAATCCGGGTCCTCTCTTCGCCTGTTGTGAGAGGTTTTTAGGCGCTGATGCGTGCCTGTGTTCGGTGCCCTGCAGCGCATGCTCTGCTCTGCCTGCAGGTGCTTACAAGCCCTATCAGGCAAACCGAATCCAAGCCTTCTCATTGCCATATTGTGGGGAGGCTTATTGTTGATTCGTGCCTATCTTCGGTGACCGCAGCTCATACTCTGGTCGAGCTGCCTAGTGGTGCTTATCGCCTTACTAATCAGGCAGACCGAATCCAAGCCTTCTCATTGCGGTATTG